ATCTTTGGTTTCAAAAATGCCAAATGATGCTTCATCTTTGAGATACTTCAATAACCCTTCTCCCAGAGTGACAGACAATGTTTCTACCACGGCAGCCTAGTTTCTTTAAGAATTGCTGGCAAAGGTCCTTATTAAAATGCATTTTGAGAACACAACTATACTTTTAATTTGTTCACAGACTCCTTCAACTCCTTCAGAAAATCACCGGATCTATCACCCATTACAAGATTTATGTAAAATATTCCATAATGCTGTTTTATCCTTTAACCATTAATTCCATTTCTTATTATAGCTTCTACAAACTTAATTGATATGCACATTTAATTGCTTGGTCTGGTTTGGGTTTTTTTTTTTTTTTTTTTTTTTGTTCTAATGAATTCCCTTGAAAGCATTTTTTAAAACTAATGTCATATTCAGTCCCTGCCATTCTTCCCATACCAAAGCAATTCTGGGCCTTATATTTCCTGTTTAGAAACTTCCTAAGACTACAGCTATTAGTAAAGATCTTCACAGTAGACCAGCACTAACATATTTCAAACTGAGCAGAGTCAGCAACTGCACCTGAAATTCCTATGGGAGATGCGGACTGACAGGTTCTTGGTGATGCATTTGATCCTCTCAGATTGAAAGGACAGAATATGGACCCTCTACTGGCAATTCAAACCACTTAGGAATTTCAAGAGGGTCCCAAAGGATCTCTCACTCTGGAGCAAGTGCCAAAACCAGTAATTCTCTTGTGAAGCTTCTTGTTGAGGCTTCCTCCTCCTATGAAGCTCAATGCCTTCACAAATGCTGAACCAAACTGCAGTGCCTCAGGCTCAAAGCCTAATTTACACTTTGCAAAGTAGATTCTGCTGCTGTATGACTTGGGTTGGTTGTTAATGATAGTCTCAGTGAAGACAAGTTTGAAGGATGACTTGTCCCAAAAACCCAAGATGATGACATTTTTAATTCTCAGTCTTTGCCGTATCAAGAGGTTCAGGAGCTATGCTGAAATGATGTACTATTTTGTCATCAACACCCAACACAAAGATCTTGACTGCTCAAGTTAAATCTACTCAGAACCAAACAGGAAGACCATCACAGACTCATGGTCCACAGCCCAGGCTTTTTCCACATGTAATTTTTCTAAGTTTTGAACAGACAATAGCAGATATGTTTTACCCAATGTTATATCAAAAAAACCCCCCACAAGACTAATAGAATGATTATGTCAACTGCCTTTCAATGCTTAGGAGTTGCAGTGATTCTACCACTGAATTTACTTCCTAGCATGGCAATAACACTCAGGAAAATGCATTTTCTTTTCCTTCAGGAAGTGAGAAAGTCTTTACGGAACTCCAAGAGTACAACTTCAAGAATGGCAGGTTAAGAAATTGGAAAAACAAACAACAAAGAAAAAAATAGAAAATTACAAAAATAATTAAAAAATAAAATGAAATTATAATTAAAGTAACAAAAAATACAGAAAAACAGAATTAGAATCAATTAAAAATCAGAAGTAGTTTTATGGAACTACTGGTATTGAAAAAAGAGTAAATCCTAGCTATTTTATAGACATCTGAACAGAATGAGCTGCTCAATAACGAGCTCCCTGTGGGACAGGACAGAGCAGACAGCAGTCACCTCTACCATTACACCTATTATCATTCATAAAATTACTACAACACATGTTGCATTTCCATTCTAAAATACATAAATGCCGCTTTTATAAACATTTTAAAACATGTTTCTGACCAATCTATTCTGAAGCTTTTATTTTCCTTAGAGTAGCTGCAGCTCCAAGAAAAAGGCCTTATTTGTCATTCATAGGATGCAACTTGGACAGGACGCTGACAGAGGACAGTCTGCATTTCCAGAAACTAGAGAACAGGAATTATCCAAGAACTTGCATCTCAATTGCAACTACCGTGAGAGCGGCCACAAGAGCTGTCACTTAGCATGAGGAGATAACTCAAACACCACAGAGCTAATTAGATAACTAAATGCTAGTACTTCTCAACACTCCTGACAGGGTCTCTGCATTTCAAAACCTCACTGCCACTAGCAGCTGTTTATGCAGCAAGAAGAGGAGGATTGCGGCACGTTGTTTCCATATCAGCTATGGTTAGGGAAGGCTGAAAACTTTTCTCTGGAGACTGACTTATCACTAATATCCCAGGTCCACATTTTCCTTCAGCGTACGACATTCTTCAAATTTACCTGAGGAAGGTGAGAGGAAAGGGTGTTTTATCCATTTACACAGGCAGTGCACAAGGACTGGGCTGATATATAGCATGGATGCTGGACAAGCTACCACTGCACCCACACAGGGACCCTGCAGTCCCTGTGACACAGAAACACAAGTTGGGCATGGAGGCACAAACACACCATGCTCCAGTTCGCATGATGAGACAGACCCAGAAACCCACAGGCCATATTACTTACGTGCATCTGTCCTTTTGGTTAAGGAAGCCTTATTTCTACCAAATAAATTTGCCGTTTATCATAACCCAGGCCAGCGAAACCTAGTTGAGCTCTGATCACCTACCTACCCAGATGAAATGCAGACATAACTAAGAAACTTCTAAGAGTATCAAGAAAAAAAAGTTACAAAGAAAGAAACACTATTTTTCCTAAAAAACAAACTAAGGACCTTTGAAAGATTTTGCAAGCAGAATGAAGTCACTCCGTTCTTCCATTTATAATCCACATTCAAGGCACATGATAGCAAAAACTTTTCATAACTAAGCAGTTAGAGAGAACTCCACAGGATTGCTTTTGCCACCCATAAATCCTGCTATTTAATCAGCCATAGAAATAGCTAATATACATCTCCTTTCACTTCAGTCCTCAAAAATGAATTATCTCTCTTTTATTCTATATATTCCCAGGTCCTGATAAATAATGATATTAATATTTTATTGCTATTTTTAATACATGTGGTTAGACCATTATGAAGTGCATATATTTCCCTTTTGGTTATTTTATTACCATTACAAGTGAACTTAAAATGAAGACTTATACTCAATTTTATGTATGAATGTTACGTTTGTAGGAGGCACAGATCAGTCTGAACTTTTTATCTGAATGTTAATGGGACCCAGTTGAGGAAACTCTTATAAAGGATGATTTAGCAACAAAAAAAAAGCTAATTAAGATAGATGTATGGGAATGTCTACTTAAGTAACTGGGAAAAAAAAATCACTGGTTCTAAGTTCTATTCTTCTCATGTTCACAGTATTTCTATGGGTAAAAAAATGCAATAATATAAATACATCATCTGCAGTTCAGAGCTGTTCTGAAGAAGCAAGATGGATTGACCTCTGAAAGGGTTTATCTTTTGAGTGTTTGAATTAAAAAGACAAGATGAAACAAATTTGGTAATAAACCAAGTACAAAACTAGAAACACATTATTCTTATTTGATATATGTATATATTAAAATACTGTTACATAGATTTCAAATGTGAAATTGTGAAGTAATGTGTCAAAAACTACCAAAAAATGGTGATCTTATTTAGAGACACAATATGTGGTTACACACACTTTTAGAAATAGATTTTACAAATCTCCATTGGAGCATTTTGCAAGGGTACAGGCTGGACACTAACTGTCTGGAGAGGAGTTTGGTTGAAGAGGACCCGGGGGAGCTGGTAGAGGGCAAGTCAAACACAAGCCAGCAGTGTGCCCGGGCAGCAAAGGCAGGAAACTGCCTCCTGCAGCATTAGATCAAGGAAAGAGGTTACCCCCTCTCAGCACTGGTTACATATTCACAGCATCACGGAGGTTTAGAGGCTCCTCTGGAGATTGTCTAATCCACCCTCCCTGCTCAAAGCAGGATCAGCTGCAGCAGGTTGCTTAGGATGGTGTCCGGTCTGGCTTGGCAAGTCTCCCAGACCAGAGACTCCACAGCTCCTCTGGGCAACCTATTTCACTGTTTGAACATCCTTGAAGTTAAAAAACAAATAAAAATGTTTTTCCTACATTTAAACAGAGTTGCTTCTCTTTCACAGCCACATCTAGAATATCAGTTTGGGACTTCCCGTTATAATAAATACATGAATAACTTGGAGCAAGGGCAAAGAGAAAATAAGATCTCAGGGGCTGCAGAGAGGCTGATGGAACTGAGGGCATCCGGCCCAAAGAAGTGAAGTCTTCAGAGGGGAGCCCACAGAAGCCCATCAATACCTATGATACCTATGACTGATACAAATATCAATTTGCATCAATACAAAAATGCTCCCAAGGTGACAGAGACAGGCTTTTAGCAGTGGCGTGTGGTGAGGAGATAAGGGACAACACATTGAAACAGAGGTTCTGTCTGGGTATAAGCAGCAGATTTTTCATTGCAAGGAGGGTCAGGCAATGGAACAAGTTGCCTACAAGTTTGCACTCTTGGAGACTTCTAAAACCCGACTGAATAAAGTCCTGACCAATCTGGACTGAACTCACAGCTTCGCCTGCTTTGAGGAAGAGGCCAGACTAGATGACCTCCAGAGGTCCCTTCCAGCTCGAATTATCCTTTGATCTTACGATTTTAAAAGTTCTTTTGTGTTTTTCTGGAATAAGGAAGAAAAGCTGAAGTGAGGTTTAATGTTTCTGGGACAAAAGTTTTTTCTCTAGCTGTACAAGCTCATGAAGCACTGAAAATGAAAACCAGTACAGTGGATTATCAGCCAGAACTGATTGCTACAAAAAATCATGTACAATTACAGAATACAGGGTTAATTGGCACAGTAGATATGTAAATTTGTATTTAAGAAAAACTCAATTTATACAGATATTAAATCTTATTTTTAAATTATTATTTTTTAATTTCAAACCAGTAAGTTTTCTAGTCTGAAATAGGAAAGATGGGACACATGCACAGACACTTAGGAGTCTATAACCAGACAGAAATATCTGCTTCTCCTCTATTTTTCATAGAGGTACTGGGTTTCAGCACCGCTGAAGTAATTCAAGGCTTTGACATTAATTAATGATCTCCAGCACTTAAAGGCAGGAAAAAAATGGATTTACCTGAATGCCATCAAGCAACTTGCTCATGCACCAATAACTGTCAGCTTCTATGTTCTGCAGCACTTCTTCAGGCAGATTGGAAACATCAAAATTTTCCACTTCTTCTTCTTCTGTTTCAGAAAAAGTGAGAGAAAGACACGTCAACAAAGAGTACAGAATAAATAAAAGACAAGGAAAGTAACTGACAATAAAGACAATTACCAGTCATCTTCTAGTCAGTAACTTTAACACACATTTCCTGTAAGAGGAACAAAACGAATCATTTATTGTTCAACTGTGTCATTTAACAACATTAAGTGTTAATGAATGCTTAATTTGCTGCAGACTGTGAAAATCTCATACCATGTCTGGTTAATTAGAATTACTATACAATAAATTACTTCACTCTAGACATTTCACACCTGAAAGGATTATCAGAAGCTCTGTAAAAGGCCTCAAGCTCCATATGAACAATCTGCACAATATGTGGATGTCTGCATCACACACAGGAGAATTGAGGCAGTTCCCTGGGAAGAGGACACGCAATAGAGAAAGCTTCAAGTCCAGGAGAGGTAGCTATTTGTCATCAACATCAAAATTTTCTTTATCAAGTATATCCAGTATAACAAGATATATCCGAGTTCTCTGGTGACTTGCTCAGTAGCAGGTTGAAAATGACTCTACTTAGCATAAAATACTATTTTTTAATCTATTTAAGAGAAGAGGCTTCATGTGAACCTTTACAAAACTGTCACTAAGCATCTAACTCCAAATAGATCTGCCATGTAAAAAAAACCACAGCACTGTAGCCTTAGTTGAATAATAATAATTACAAATAACAGTTGAAAAATGAAAATTAAGGATGAATATTCATATTAATTTAGAAGAGAAAAATAGACAACAAAAAGAAAAACAAGGCATCCATCCAGTAGGAACAAAAATACTTAAGAGTTTCCAAATGTTTCTCACATTAAGTTTCAATAAATAATAGCATGTTTATTGCACATTTATATCTCATCTCCCCAGCACAAAAAAAATGTTTAATATTTTTAATTTAATTTTAATTCTAAAATATATTTGGCAATCACATTATGATGAGAAAACCATATCAAAAAGACTGAGGGACAAGAAAAAGCAAAAGAGGGAGGGATGGAGGGATTAGTAAAAGAAAATCCCTATCTATAATGTCACAGACTTTCATGCATAACCATATGGAAATAGGAAGACCACTTTTAGGAAGTGCCTATCCACTTTTTCTGTTCTCACAAGCCTCTGTTCGGCAAAGATGTCCAAGAACATCATGCTTTTCTGTAACATACATTGACTGATTCCTAGTGTTTTTTATAAGCATCTTAAGCATAAAATGTTCAAAAAAATTTAATGATGTTTTCTTTAAATATAGGCGTTACTTGCAGTCCAGTTTTCATTTCTATTGTGCTTCACATGCATCTGTTGCAAGACAGTCTATCCTAATATCAGAAAATGAAGCTTTGAAATACAAAAAAAAAAAAAAAAAAGACATCTAATGTGCAAGGCAACACAGCATATCTTGGCTACACTCTAATAGCATCAACCTTATGCAAGACAAATGTCCCAACCTTTAGCTTAGAAACTGTATTTTAAAACATTTCAGAGTAAAATGTAGCTACATAAAGGTATATCAAAATATATTTTCCATTGCATCTCAGAAGAATAATGCTTTTATAAGCTGGAATATGCATACTTTAACCAGCACTTCTTGATTAAGATATTGTGGATGCAAACAGAGCTACACTACGGAAGCCCCCCCATATACTAAACTTCAAGATGACAAAGCCTTATTAAAGGTATTAAGGGTACAAGGCAAATAAGCATTCATGATCTGCAATAGTTTCTGCTGCATCCATATAGCCTAATTTGCAGTATTTTATTGAAGAGGTTCGAAACTGATTCAAATTATTTGAGACATTCTTTTTCCACACTACAACTGAAAGGAACAGGGGACATTCATTTTAGAGAAAATTTCTTCAAAATTAGGAAGGTCTGACTGGCACAATAAAACGCAAAAATGTTAGCACTCATATTTATTATTTTTCCTTTAGAGATATAATGCAAAGTGCTTTCTTCCTGCAATTTTAAAGAAAAAAAAATCGAGTCAATTGTTACATAGATTTTCTTTTTGCTTATTTGTAGGAAGAAATAAACACATTGGATATATTAGAAAAGAAAGACTGGAAAGGGTCTCAGGACAAATAACAGAAGAAACAAAAATAACTACCTAAAAAGTATATTAGATGAAGTATTATTTCAATTTAAGTATTGTGTTGGAAAATAGAATTGCAAATTGCAGTTTTAGATGACTTTAATTTTTTTTTTTCCATGAGTTAAATCTGAATGGACAGTAATATAAAGATTAAATAACAAGAGAACGGGGAAAAGCAGCAGGCAAATGTGTATATGTATCAATATCTGCGAAAAAAAAAAATCACTTCATAAGAATTCCCAATTACAAAGTCTCCCAGCAACATCTCTCATTTTCTTGAGTCTCCTGCGGAGACTTTTATGGTGTTATCTGTGTAATTGTTGAAGACACTAAATAGTTGCCTAGAGGAAACTTGCTGGTCCGCCTGCGCGCGCCGCTGCAAGCGCCGCGGTGGCTCCTCTGGACCCGTCACCAGAACTCCCTTCTGAAGCCTTCCACCTAGTACTGCGTCTGAACAGCTCTGACCTGATCCCCTCCAAAAGGCAGTGGCTTATATAAGAAAATAATCCAAAATTTACTCGTTTACAAGTTTTTCTTTCTATTTATAACATGCTACACATTTATTTCTCCAGCTACTAAGCTAATATAACTGCCTCATATAGCAAGAAAATACAGGTTTTAATATGAGATTAAGACTAGTCAAGACTTTTGGTAGAGGATGATCAAAATGCAAAAATGAACTTCCTGAAATATTTGAATTACTCCCTTTCCGCGTAGATCAGGAGGATACATGTGACATTAGAGACAGATGGAAGCCACATACTATGGGAATTTTCACATTAACTGAAGAGTTAGGAAATGCTAACTCTAGAGAGAATCTTATTTACAAAAAAAAGCCATGTCCCGGTTGGAAGACTAAAAATTAAAAACACACGAGATTAAGGTAGAATGATAGTACTGCTTTAGTGACTCGTAGCAATCTCCACTCATCCCAATGCTCAGTCTTTTTAAAAGAAGAACAGAAAAGAATCAACTATGACACATTTTCCATGCAAGCCAACATTTCATTGTCATGTTAATGTTACAATTTTAGCTCCGTATCTTGAAATGCTGTCCCAGTATTAAAATCCATGCAAAACTCATGAGAGTTTACTAGAGCAAGAAGTAGAAGCCAAAATGCTTGGGGATATAAGAATAAATCAAATGAAGAAGCCAGGAACACACCTGTAAGGTCATCATTAAGTTATTCTTGCTTTTCTATTTTTATATATAATTTAATATATTTTTAATATTAAAAATAATAATTTTCTGAACATCCTAAAATCATTCTCTTTGTTACAGCACTTATTACTTAAATATATTTTGTGTCTAACATGACAAAAATTGCAATAGATTTCAAGAGCAATGAAATTTCTATAGAGCTTACATAGCTCTTGTAGAGGTATGGGGAAATCTGCAAGACCCATGGACACCTGTGACTATAAAGTCTGTAGAATTAAAGTATTATTCTGTTGTAAACTACTATAGAATATCTTCAGATAATCCTAATTTTAAAGTTACCAGCTAAACAAACAAACAACAAAAACATGTGAATGTCGGTGTGTCTGGAGGTGAACAGTAATATTCCTATACCTAGAAGATCTTATACATTCTGCTTTGGAGTCCAGTTTTCTAAGGTTTAACAGCTATTCAGCCATTGCTGCATTACTACAATCTTTTTTTCTAAAGAGAAGAGGATATAGCAGAAGATTTAGGTGTAAATTCTTACAGTAATAATTAGCTACACACAAATTTTACATAACCATATCACTATCTCCCCTTAAAAGGGACCTAATTAGGCATCTATAGGAGAGACACAGCATTTGAGCTGCTATAGAGCGATTGCTGAAGAAAAATATTCCCTTTCTTCGTGACACTACAGTCACAAAGAAAAAAATAAATAAATAAATAAATGAAATGCAAATACCTCGCCAGACCAGACTCCAGTAAACACGCCTTTAGCGCATTTAAATCATTCCCACATCATCAGTCATTTGCTGACAGACGGTTGATATACAAAGCGCCGGCTCAGTGCAGCTGAACTGCAGCACGATAGTGCTGCTCCATACCTGTGCATCACATTCCCTCTAGGAAAGCAGCCCCTGCCTTCCTGTTACAAACTCTGGCTCCTCAGGCAGGCAGGAGCCTTCAGAGCTGCGTGATGAGCTCCATGGGGGAATAAATCCAACCAGAAGAGAGTTTGGGTGGGAGAAGAGGGGAGCAGGCAGCAAGAGCCCAGGACTGTTTATGCACCAGAAACACCATCCTAGGCTAGTTTCACCTGACTGCAAAATTGCAGTATGAAGACAGCTCTCCAGCACTGACACCAAAGTGACCAGAGCCTGGCTACTGCAACTGATCCTGCCCTAAATAATTCAGCCATAATGCCTGAAACAGCCCCACTGCAGCAGCTTGCAGTTTGACACACATTATCTTACCTCAGGTAAGATCTGAGGCATACACTCATCCTGCTGTCATACCAAGATTCCTATCCACACTAGCCAGGGCAGTTTAAAGGACTAGATTTGGTTATCAAACATAACCTAACATCCATCTCCATACTGCCATGCTGCTTTAAGGACCAAGAAAAACACAGCTCTGCAAGCTGCTTGCCTGCTGTTATACATTTTTTTTCTTTCTATTTTATCCTTTTGCTTTTACCTGTCTTATCTCCACTCTGCAGCTGCATCACTGCCCATTCTTCTTTTCTCTCAGCAGGGCACAGCAAAGGCAAATATTCCTCTGTGCTAATTGAAGGAGCAGGATCCCACTCCTGGGTCTAGGCACCCCATCAATTATAAATATTTGAAGTCACTCTAAGTACATTCAAATCAAATTTATTTGCTATATCCACAAATATAAAGCATTAAAATATTTACAAAAGCAACATGATCTCACAAACAGGGTCTG